TGAGTTGCAAGAAAAAGTGCGACCATGAATTGAAAAAAAATAGAGATTGCATCCAAACTAAAAGCTGTATCATCTTCTGTTTTCGTACCTGTGAAATGCCTCCTCCATTGGCCTATTGAAATGTAACGGCATAAGAATTTATTTAGCCGAAACAGTGACGCGGTTATGGGCTGCATGACTAGATTTTCTTGATGATGTTCAGGGCCGGGCTAAGGATATATCGTCAAGGCGAGGAATTGGGATAGATTTCCCTTGGAAATGTACGAGGCCAGCAGTCGTCTATTGGGTGCACCTCATTCCAGGACTGTGAAGTTGCCCAAATACTGTCAACGTCTTTGTGCTGGTAAAGTCCACAGTTTGGTGCAAATTATGTGCGCCGAGAAGAAGAGCGAGTCTAGCCAAAATATGGACTCTGTGAAGAATCAAATCACACAACACCTAAAAAAGACATTGACTGTATTTTCTCAACGCCTTCTTGAGGTGTTGTATGCGTTGATTGTTCGTAGAGTCCACATTTTGGCGCGGATCATAAGTGCCGAAGAGAACAGTGAATCTGATACCTTGGCCTTGGAATTGTGAATATTAGATTATGCGAATAAGACCTCGGTTCATCGTTCTGCTACCCCGATTCATACATGCTGAGCTTTTATCCGTAATGTGACGGGCATCGTCAGAGCCAGATACCATTAGTTACGAATAATCACACACAAAAAATAAACCAAGAAACGTGGCAGGCTAAGATTCGACTATATGAGTTGTGTTCATCCTATTTCATTTAAGGTGATGAAGGACTGGTAGTTGATTTTTCCCACAACCATATGAGCAGAGCTGATATTTATCATTAAATTTCGCATAACTTTGCTTTCCCAAAAGGTGTTCTTATCCAGAGTGTACTGCATAGGTCTTAGCAACACCTCCAGTGGGAGTCGAGCCATGACAGTGAGTGTGTAAGCTCGACACGTTAACCACATTGCCACATTGCCACTAGTGCCTCTGGGTCACTGGGTAGATGTGAATTTCAAGCATTTTCCATATCACATTCTGTGTTGGGATTGTCGATGAAGCAAGCTTATATATATCAGATTTACTGGTAGTCTCGAAAACCTACTCATTTGCGATAAAAGTAATGTCGTCGATTGCTATAGCAAATAAGAGTTGGCTTCATCCACAATCCCAGCACAGAATGGGAAATTCACATCTGCTTTCTGACCCAAGAGCACTCGTGGCAATGTGGCGTAGTGGCTAACGTGACGAGATTATACACTGTAGCGTCATCGCTCGAGTTGCGCTGTGAGTAGTGAGGTCGAAACTGTAGTCCACTCCGAACGGGATAAAAAAACCTTGTGGGAAGCACGGCTGTGTCAAATTCAATGGAGACACAAGGTCAACTTATATCAATGTGGGCAAATTCAACTGCAATTCCGTCATCACCTTAAACGAAGCGGAGTGATCACATCTCATATGTATGATTTAATGCTAATCTCGAAAATCTTCTCATAAACGATAGTTAAATAAGATGGTAAAGTGCAATATCAGGGTCGGATTTTCCGCTGAAGACGCTGATGAGACCTAGACGAGGTGGAAACTAAAGGTCAGTTAAGCCTTGATGAAAATACCTTTTTGGAAAGCAAGTTGAAGATGACTTACTAACAATAAATATGGAGGCTTTACGGCAAAGCGGAAAATCACAAATTCGATCGAGATCAAATAAACGAAGAACATCCTGTATTCGAGATACAGATGTTGGAGACTAAGCAAGATGTATATCTTGCTACTGGATAGAATTACGAGAGGAAGAGGAAGCGAGTAGAAAAAGAGCCGCTGAGTAAGAGCACAATGCTCGACTAATCTGGAGTCTGGTTTGAGTCTCAAAATTGTCAACTAACTTGTGAAGATAAGTTGTGTGACCTTGTTTCGCCGGCATCGTAGTCGGCATCATCAGTGAGTGTTGCCATTCTCCGCACGAAGCTACGAACTCGTCAAAGAGACAAATGAAGTCAATCCATCGACAAACGTTCTGCCGAAAACGGTTACACTATCGCTCCTCTTTCTGTCCTGGCCTATCTATACACTCTTTACCCTCTAATCCCACTTTTGCCACGTCAAAACTTCTCAGTTGGTTGCATTCCACTCGTTAAAACGTGTGCCCATTTGTGGAAAATCTAGTGTGGCCTCATCACACCTGCTATTAACCCCGACCCCTCTCTTTCGATGGGCTGATCCAACTCGGGCCTCCAATCCGGATCCCTTCATTGTCTCGTAGATCCGTTCCTTCTTTTTCTGCTTGACCGATTTCACTCAGTTCCAGTCCCGGTGTGCATTTCACTCCCGGCGCTATTTCTCAAGCCGATAGAAGCACGTACACTGCCACTTCACTGAGCAGATCGCCTAGGCTCTGATTAAACCCATGTTCTCTGAGCACACTGAGGACGCCTATCTCTGGTCGCATGCGACCTCTAAAGTGGATTTATGGTACATTTTGGCCATAACGTCGAATTTCGGTGACGGTTTGTTTATCCGTCTGCCCAGCTCCCTGAGTGCCAGGCCCCCAAAGTTGTACTGGTTTATTCTGAATGGACATCACTCACTGACAACGCCTTAGCTTTATTGCCGAAAACCGCTTCCCCCCAGTTTCTTCCTCGCGATCTATTTTCCTCCGATTAGCGGTAGATCCTTGATCCAGGCGTCTCCTTTTCGCTGGTCTTGCTTCATTCTTATTTTCCTCGAGTTGGCTTATGCAGTAGGCAAAGTTATCGCTAACTCTACCTTCCTCCAATCTCTTGTTCATTAGATTTTTCTCCCCAAACATGTCAATGTCCTCCCTTATCTTCCTCTTCCTTGTGTTGTCACCGTATGGGGCTGTTCTTTCTGTTGCCTTCCAATTGATCTCCTGTCCAGTCTGTGCGATGTGCTCCGCTATGTCTCATTTTTCGGTATCCTTTTTCCTGCATAGCCTTTGATGTTCCTTGATTCGTATGTTAAATTTTCTCCCTGGTTCGCCAATATATTTCTGATCGCAGGCGCCATATGATATGCAGTAAACTCCTGAACATTCCAATTTGTCTACGCTTTCATTTTGTGTTGGTAGAGTTGTGAAAAGTGTTGATTTCTCCTTCATGACCACCTGAATATTCCATTTACTCAATATTGGCCGTAGTTTTTGAGTTATTTCCTAGAAAGGTAGGCATATCCACTTTTGTAAATCCTTCATCGTCCATACTGTTCTTCCATGGTCCCCGTTCTGCCATCGGCTTTTCACGGCCCGTTTACTTCTTTGTATTACTTCACTTGGGGAGCCATTGCCGAGGAATATCCCCGTCAA